TCCTCATTATGGTGTGCTTGGAGTGAATGCTGCTGTACCATCATGTGACTCTGTGGACGGGATGTAGTTTGCAGGTTCAAACCCTCGTCAGTCGTAGAGCATAGCAAAGTGTCTGAACTACAAGACTATGCCGACTGCAAGGTCTACCGCACTCCATAGGCTCTGTACTTAAGCTGCGCCTGACACATCCAGAGACTGACAGACCTAGGCTCTGCTCAAGACTTCATGGAATTGTGTTGAGGTGCCAAACTAGAGTCTGTATCCGCAGACTAGGGATGGGGGTGTGTAGGGCGGGGCTGGTGGAGGCTGTTGAAAGACATGCTAATGGTCAACAGATGATGCAACTCATTTGCGGTGTCCTGTCGCAGCAGAGAGCTGGGAAAGTTGTATTAAAAAGCATTGTGCAGTTGAAGTAATACTATTACTAATGGGTTTACAGACCTAATACTCAGTCACACTGCCAAACTGACTCGACACCTACCCCACACCGATCAATTTTCAGCAATAAGGAGCAATGCAATTGATTGTTCGTTCTGTAGTCGGTCTAGGGTCGGTCTGGTTGGTGTGCCTGAGGTATAAAGACAGAAGACTTCAGAATACCTTCAACCTTTGACCCAATGACCCTCGAATACACTAGGTTTTTTTTTTTTTTTTAATCTCTGTTGATGAATATGGACACCAATCTTCTAGTTTGAATGCATATCAGAAATGAGTTATAGGAATGACATGATAATGGGACAATACGAAAGATGGACAGACAGACAGACAGACAGACATCCTGAAGCAATCAGACAGTCGGACAACCTGAAAACTTGTTTCCAAACATGTATGACTAGGATTTTGAATGAAAACCAAAAAAAGTTTGTATTTTCAAATGCTTAGAATCAAATGGGTGTTTCACACTTTTACTTTCTCAGCAGACGATTTATCGTGAGTTCCATCTCTTTGGTCATATGATGAGCATGATAGCGGTGAAACTGAATCACAACACTCAATGATATCTAGAGACTCTTCAATACAAAAAATTACTGGAGTATTTATAAACTAAATAGAAGAACTTTTGATTTGATGGATTAGTCATGGACACAAAAAAGACTTCATTGTTAGAAACTGAAATCAAATTATATCGTTGGTTTGAGGTCGACTAGAAAAAAATAAACCACTTCAAAACCTATTAGATGCAAAAGTGAAAGTGAGGTGCCTTTTACTATTGATCAATGCAAGGTATAGATTCCGCAACAATGTGACACTCTTTAGCAATTAGAAGTTTGCATATGTACCGGTATGCAAAGGCTTACATGCAAGACTTGGTCCAGTGGATATGTCTTCGGACTGTGAATCACATGGTTAAGGGTTCAAGTCCCTCCACGGCACTAATCTCCTTTGGCAAAACATTAATGTACATTTGCCACTCTCCACCCAGGTGTTCATATGTTTTAAATGGGAACCGGTAGAAAGGAATTCCTTGAATGCTGTGAGCACCGAAATCGGTAGCCTAGCACAGCCAGGGCAATACTGGAACGCCTTGAGCACCTTGCAAGGTGGATATGTGCACTACAAGAATATAATTTACCCCCATTTGCTTTCAGCATTCATCAAACTAAATATAAAAGTATTAAGCAACAACATGAATTTGAAAATAGTACATTTGATTTTGCTTGGATAAGCATAATGAAAGACCTATTTGTTTAAAGTTCACTTCATCCAAAGATTTTGGCAAACATGTTTTAATGTTATTTATTTGGGCATTCTCATTCCCACATCATTCTTCTATATTACTTCCTGCATACACTATTAAAGACCGTCAATACTACTGGGCAGGTGGCTATCCCATCAAACCAGCTCTCAACTAACATAAGAAAAAGAGGATCATGGGGGACCAACAGGCACCGATTTGGGAAGTTTTCTATATAGAGGGAGCAAGTAGCTACAAGTATGACAGTGGGGCTTTACAGAAGCTACATGGCCTTGTATTTCAATGACAGCATGTGGGTTATGTTGTGTGGGCAGAAGTAATAAGACAACATGCTCTGCATTGTGAAGTAATTTTGCTCATCTTTCAATGTTCACATTGACATATATCATGATATTAAACATGACACAAACAGTTGCTGCATCCCACCTCTTTCCTATATTCACAATCACCATGTGATAGAGCCATGCTGAGAGGTTAGCCGATGAGTAATAAGTTCTAAACTGAAACTGAACAACTTCTCAAGCCCTGGTCCCACCTCTCCAATAACAAGCATTATAACCACAGCTACTATGGTGGGCCAAACAGGCCAATATTCGTACAACTATACGTACAACTATTGGCATGCTTGGCCCGTCATAAACTACACACAAAAAAATATAAATCACCATAATGGCTGAGGCTCATTCATATTTTCAAGTATGTAATCCCTGCAAAACCAATAGCCCATAACTTTATTAGACCTAGATGACCTGCACAAAACTAACCAATCTGTATCCATGTTGCGTTTTTTTTTTTTTAATGCCTACAAAAACCAATAGATCATACATGTACCTTTATTATGCCTGTACATGACCTGAACAAAACCAACTAATCTTTATCCATGTTGGTACCTGGGAAGGTGGGACTGCTTCAAATTTCAAAAGTGGGCAACGGCTGCTCCTGACATTTCTATTTGAAGATTGGATGATTATGCGATGCTTTTCCAATGGTCTTCGTTTCTATCAGAATATCAACATGATAACTACAGGTATATGATTTGGCGTGCTTATATGCAAACAGGGGGAAATTCATGTGATTTGTTGAACGAATGGCATTAATACATTCTAGCACAAGCTGTCACTGGGTCATGCAACGCAGTTTGAGACTACGATGATCATAATGGGGTACTTCAGTATATTAGTTTCATTTGTTTCTCCCAAAATAGTTCTTATATTATCAATATTGTGATTATCAGTAGTATGTTCATGATTCAGGCAAATGGAATGGTAATGATTCTAAAGTATATAATTGGTAGTGATTGTGGTTGTGGCTTTTCACGAATTCACAACTGTTAGTCACTATTAACTACCAATACTTGCATAAAGCCCATCAGATCTGGGAATCTGTAACAGTGAGAGCAGAACTTTTCTAATCTCCAATTGACATCTTAACAACTTTTACGTTTAGATTCGGTGCTTTGGTTGAGATTTGGTGCTTTGTGTTGAGATTTGGTGCTTTGTGTCGAGATTTGGTGCTTTGTGTTCAGATTTGATGCCCAAATAGTTCATTGAATTGAAAAATCTATATAAACAAGCCAGAATTGTCTGTACTTTCAGACTTTTTAAAAGTTGATACACAATGAAATAAATGTAAGGAACTTACAGTACATGTACATGTGCAAAATAGATGTAAATATTATTATTATGGATGACTTTTCCAAATATTTATAAATGATCATAAAGGTAGCTCCAAAAGGTGTAAATAAGCAATAAAGATTATTTAAAAAAAAGAACAAACAAACAAACTTGGATCTAGTTCTTGTTGAGAGCAAAAATGAGCATTATGTCACATTTTTAAAGTTCAAAGTTAACGCCTTCTGACTCTCGGCAAACAATACTCTACTACCGAACCAAATTGCCATAGAAGGTCTACAAATGGAGCGTATCATTAAAATTCGGTCCAGATCAGTGATCTACTGTATGAATAATCAAGGTGTATGATCTACAGACTACACAGCTAATGTAATTTCCAGTAACATCCTACTGTTACTCAAAAGGTTACAGCAAGCAACTACTGTAAGATGCATGTGCTGCAAACATACAAGATATTTGTTTCCTACAATACTGAATGACTTCTAATATGCTCTGTACTCTACTACTCTGTAACATCCTACATAAAGGTCCAAATTCGAAAAGGAGGTTTGTCAATTAACCTTGGTTTATGTGTGTCATATGATGCGTTTCAAACCAAGGAACTCGTCGAAATGTGTCATATGATGCACATAAACCTAGGTTTGTTGACAAACCCCCTTTGTGAATTCGGGACATAGAGTCTGAAACACCAGACTACATCTAATTCAGAACACAGGTGTACCTCAATGTCAATGCACAGGTTAGGATGAGGTGGGTGTAGAGTACAAAAAAAAAAAGGGCTACATCCACAGAGCTTTTCAAGTCTCTTCCAAACAAACCTTTTGTTCTCCAATTCTTTTGTGTACACCCTCAGATTTACTAAGAATGATTCACTCCTACGGCTTTTGTGCTCTTATCTGACCCACATAAATAACGCTCCAAAAGATTTGACTTTGTCAAGTTCTGTCCTCCTCCTCCTCCGAAAGATCTCTATGTTTGTACAAAATGTGTCTGACAAGTCAAAAGTTTTAAATGCAGGATCCCCAACTTGCTAGCCGTTTCAGACAGAGAGTCATCTCAGTTCAGAGGGAGATCGTGACCTTGTTCGTTTACTTTTAAAGTTGTAAACATTTCCCACAGGTGTAAATCCAAATTTAGTTGACATTAATCCTGAGGCTTGGGGTAACTACACCAACAACAACAACAACAATTATGGTGTGTGTGTGTGTGTGTGTGTGTGTGTGTGGGGGGGGGGGGTAATAGAAGTAACTTCCAAGGAGGAAATACAACCATACTCCACTTTATTTACTTGCATACATAAAATTTCTGCACATTCAATCCTTGCAGGCAATTTTCATTGTTCAACACGTTAAAAGCAGTTTAAATAAACTGTAACAAACTTCACATGGGGTATGGCAAGTTAGTTTCCATAAGCTTCCATCAATATATAAAAATAGATACAACATTGAACCATCTAAAACACTGAAAGCATGGATGTCACACAGAACTAATTAGAGAGAGAAAGGGAAAACCATCTGAAATTAGCTATTTTTTTTCAACGCCAGAAAAGCCTGAAATATGGCAGGAGATTGATGAAAACACTTGCATGAGCCTAAAATTCAGGACTTTTGCCTGAAAAATGGCATCCGCATGAAAGGATTTTAAAATTTTGTATTTAACCATATTTTACTCACCTAACATTTGTTTGAGTACAGGCTTATCTTGCTCAAGCCAAACCTATGTAAAAATAAAAGCGAACAAAAATGAGAAAATAAAATGAAGAAACGTCATAGAAAGCTCTCAACTACTTCCAACTCAAAATAAACGGTTGTATTGTTCGACAATGGCAAAGCAATCAAATATATTACATTCCCAATTATTTGTGTGCCATTTATAGCGATGATAGGGCATGAATCACTTTCAAGGAGAGTGATTTACAGAATGACATTATTTATCTTCTACCATATGGCTGTATAAACCACAATGGGTTTGAACAATGTATAGTTCATACCATGCAGTCAAGAAAATTAATAAAGAGGGGGGGGGGGGTGGCAGTGAGTGACCCCTCCCCCCTCCTCACCCCTTCCAACCTCTCCTCCATCCAAACTCAACATTTGTATAGGCTGTCAACAGTGTAAAATACAAATGATCATTTTTCCAGCTTGTTTGAAAACGTTCAGTTATCTTGTTGGCAAATTTGGTTGAATTCTCCCCCCCCCCCCCCCCTCCAAATTTAAAATGGTCTAGCCATACCTCTGCAAGTGGCTGAGGTGTGATCATGAAAATATCATAGTAATCAAATACCATATTGATCATACGTAAACCAAGTTTAATCTTCCTTTTTCCAAAGGTGAAATGTAGTTTATTTTGGAAATAGAACACCTAGTCTGGAATACGTGTAGTTGAATATCCTCTACATTATGATAGAAGCAGAATCAGTTAACAAATAAAAACAAAATACAAACATTCTGCTATCCCTCAAGGACATGGTTTAAAAGTATTGCGATCGATCCATATCAATTGCATGTCCTCTGTTGAAATGATCAATCGCAGAGTTGCAATCACTAGTACAGAGTTACTATAGAAATCAGAGTCATGTTGAGATCGATTCATATAATGAAATGACGTTTATAACCTTGCACAGTTCTACGTTATCAAATAAACCATATTCGTGATGTTATCAAATTTAATGCATCAATCTTTGTTAAGTGCCATGTTACAGATTATTGCATTCACCTGTTACAATTAATGTAATTCAATAGTCATACTGAGATTATATTCATTAACTGTTGCTAGGTAGAACACACATTACAGCTTGTCCTGCCTAACAACACAGAATGTATGCAATTTGTATTCTGACTATTGCAATACAATTATTTGTAGCAGGTAAATTGAATCATTTGAAACGAGGCAATTAGCAAAGATTTGTGCATCAAATTTGATAAAATTACGAAAAATAGCCTATTTGGAAGGCTTCTAACCAGAAGAATATTGAATTTTGAGTGAGTATCAACAACAAAAACACCGCTAGGACAATGATCTCATGAATTGTTTGCTGGTCTAAAATTTCTGAAAACACGGATCTGTTTCTATCATCTTTCTGTCTTTATTGAAACAAAATTAATATGAGGGTGACCTTTCCCTTAAAAAAAAATATGTAACTTACCAAATGATCTCCCTTTGTGTAATATTCCAAACCAAAGTAGTCCATCTCATAGAGATTGAGACACCGACAACATTCAAGGAACACATCCGTTCCTGTCGCATTTTGCTGTAATAAGAAAAAAAATGAGAAGAAAAAGGAAATGAGTACAGTTTTACACACTCTCATTAAATGATACTTTTGATAGTACTCTGTTCAGAGCGTTTTTTTATATAAATCCCAGGTACAAAATAAATATTACTTTGAAATTGAAGGTAATCAAGTGACAGAGACAATGGAAGATTTCAAATCATTTATAATTTTAACGATGAGCATTTAGTTTGGGATTCGATTCATATTTATTAGCAATTAGTAGCAGTCATGATGCTATTTATTTGATTAATCGCAAAAGGAAAATAAGAATGACATCGTACTCAGGGAACTAGTGTAGAGTATGAAGAAAATCTGGTATTATTTCAAATACAACAAAACATTTTGTTTAAAGTATTTGTCATTAATCAATACAAATTTATCTAAAATAAATGTATCTAAAATACAAATTTATCTAAAATTGTAATGATTATGTTTAAATCATAAGACTGATCGGAAGAGAGTTATAACAAAATATTATGAACACTGAACATTTCTTTACAATACTTTTAACATAATGAGAATGTAATTATACTTGGACATGAGGATATTATCATTAGTCGAACATGTGTACGTAGATCTGTGCCACACCCCATTACAGTAATACCTGATCCCAAATCCTGGTAGGTGTTATACCATATTGGACTAGAGGAACGTCAAACTGCAGGGGTAAAAATAGACCTAGCCATGCCGATAGTGACCTGGAAATGACCTCAAATGGAGTACAAAAATATACCCCTGGGCAATGTGCTGTTAATAAAAATGAAGATAAACAAAGTGTATCTTAGGGTGCGTTCAATCGAATTTTCGAAGCTAGAATCACAAACATGAATCACAATTCAAAACGCCGTTACAAAAAGCAAGGTCACTGCGGTTTGCGTTCAAGCGATTTTTCATCAACGCTGATTCTAGCTCATTGCGAGCCAAACCACTGCGCATCACACTGCGCAGTATGGCCCAGGAACTTCGGCGCGCGCTTTCTGGAATTGTTTACGGCCGACTGTCGACTGCTGTTTTGAGCATAGATCGCAATAATAAGACAAAGAATGAGAAGGTGATAGAAGGAAGAAACAAAGAATAACATAAGGAAAGACAGAAAGATAAAGTCGATAGAATGATTAAAACAAAGAATAACATAAGAGAAGGTGAAAGAAGGAAGAATCGAAGAATAACATAAGGAAAGACAGAAAGACAGAAAGAGAGAGTGATAGGATGCTTAAAACAAAGAATAACATAAAAGGTGATAGAAGGAAAAAACAAAGCATAACATAAGAATAGAAGGAAGAAACAAAGAATAACAAAAGAGAAGGTAATAGAAGGAAAAAACAAAGAATAACATAAAAATAGAAGGAAGAAACAAAGAATAACATAAGGAAAGACAGAAAGAGAATGTGAAAAAAGGAAGGAACAAAGAATGACATAAGGAAGAACAGAAAGAGAAAGTGATAGAATGATTAAAACAAAGAATAACATAAGAGAAGGTAAAAGAAGGAAGAATCAAAGAATAACATAAGGAAAGATAGAAAGAGAAAGTAACAGAATGATTAAAACAAAGAATAACATAAGAGAAAGTGATAGAATTATAAAAACAAAGAATAACATAAGAGAAGATGATAGAAGGAAGAAACAAAGAATAACATAAAGAAAGACAGAAAGAGAAATTGATAGAATGCTTAAAACAAAGAATTACATAAGAAAAGGTGATAGAAGGAAAAAACAAAGAATAACATAAGTATAGAAGGAAGAAACAAAGAATAACATAAGGAAAGACAGAAAGAGCAAATGATAGAATGATGAAAACAAAGAATAACATAAGAAAAGGTGATAGAAGGAAAAAAAACAAAGAATAACATAAGAATAGAAGGAAGAAACAAAGAATAACATAAGGAAAGACAGAAAGAGCAAATGATAGAATGATAAAAACAAAGAAAAGGTGATAGAAGGAAAAAAACAAAGAATAACATAAGAATAGAAGGAAGAAACAAAGAATAACATAAGGAAAGACAGAAAGAAAAAATGATAGAAGGAAAAACAAGGAATAACATAACGGAACAGGCCACGATGGTATAGTGAACGCAAATTGCATGCAAAGCGGGCGCGCGGTTTTTCCCAAACCGGAAGAGGCTTCGTCATACAATCATGATTGAGAACTCCGTCCGTTCAATCGAATTTTAGCGACCGTGATTCTTTTGAATCATGATACAAAACGCATCTTTTTCAGCGTTTCATGTTTGTGTTTTCAAACACGTTTATTTTTACGACCGACGAAAAAATCGCTTGAACGCATTGCGTTTTAAACTAAACGTCTTTAGAAACCGTGATTCTAGGGTGAAAAAGTGTCGATTAAACGCACCCTTAAAAGCCACCACAATCTCCTTCACCATTATTTATTACCCCATTTCAACATATTGGCGTTATGATGGTGCTTGGATCATGAGCATTGTCCGACTTGTCATGATATTGTTTGGATTTGGAATGGAAGATGGCAATATGATTCCATACAAGAGAAGATTTCTACCAGTAAATAAGTACATACAGTACTCTATAAAAATCAGAAGTTTTCCTACAACTTTCTGATATGAACCAGTGTCTGTCGTGAAGTTTAAGGCTTCCAAGTGGCTTTAAAACTGGCAACATCTAATTTTTCAAATTTGCGAAAGTTTCAGGTTGAGAAAGTCTCCGGTTTCAAATCAGACAGGAGTTAAGGGCAATTGCTTTTGATTTATCATTAAAAGAAAAACCTTTTACAATAATGCCTGTCAAGACTCATGATACATTAAATATAAATGCCAGACAGAATTTATGAGAAGGTATGCAGGTCGTCTACCATGGGCTACTGAGCACCCTAGAAAATCCAGGAATATCATGGCTTGGAAACATTTGCAAGGCCTGATTTTAGGCCCTTTACCTGAAAAATAAGCATTTCTCAAAAAATCACATAATATGGCAACTGACAGTCATGTTCATTTGAAACATTAAGAGACAACCTTCAGGAATACATGTAAATCACTCCTTGCCACAGACTTATCATCATCTTTGTTTTTCTGAGGCGTTTTCGTTACGAAGCTCACATCAGGTACACATTTTCAGACTAGTCATTGTCGCCCCTCGTAACGAGGGTAGAAAGAGGTCATTACGTCGTACTACTGGAAGCCCTATTGGAGAGGAGAGAAGGGATCGGGCGGCCAATTTGGAAACGATCTAGAACTTGTCGATGATGAGATCTGGCATGAACCGAGCAAGCAAGCTAGACTTGCACTCTTCCTACGCATGGATTGGGTTACATCAGATTGACAGGTATTTGGAAGCAGTGTAGAATTGCTGTGCCACAAGTCATACAGCGAGGCAAAAGTCCTTTGTACAATTTTAAAAAGTTGTATGCTACTATTAGAGGAATTAGTCAAGTTAATCGGGAAACTGATTAATTTAAATTAGACTGATTCAAGATAAAAATATCACTCTAAATTATTCAAAGTTTTTCCAACCCTTCAAAAGCACTTGTCAGTTCTTTGTGATTGATTGATTAGAAGTAGAATAACTAAGGAGTTTGTAGGACTGGCTTACAAATATATGGTAACTTTAAAACCTAGAAGTTACAAGCAATTAGCTAGATTTGACCACATTGAGTGCCACTTGAAGAACAATATTCTACATGTACATTCCTTTTCATTTACATAATTTTATGGCAGGGAAAAAAATAACACAAAGCAGTGAAACATCTCTCGAAAGCCTCCGTTTCAAACTATAAACTAAATCAAAAGAAGTATTTAGATACCAGTAGCTGGTGACATCCAAACTACCTGCTCTAAATTACTTTAAATGAACTTTCTGTAAACTCTGCTATTTTTGGCCTTCCTCCACTCAGTCTTGCAGTCCGCTGACTTTGAATAGAGCATTAATGGTCTGCTTCCTAATCACTTCAGGGCGTTGGACGACTAGACAGTTTCTATTCATAGAACCAACTACCGTTTCAAACCCATGCACAGGAAAATGACGAGGGACACACGTGGAAACTAATGCGTGGGACAGTAAAAAGTTGGACTGTTTAATAAAGCTACATGGAGTCATGGCTCATCACGCAGGGAAATAGTTCAGGATCATTAAAATATTTCCTTTTCAAAACTATGCATGGCTCACTCTAAAAATCAATTGTGAACAATAACAAATTCCATTTGCAGCCATTAAAATAAGAATCGATTTCCTTCCTAAAGATATGACCCCAATACCCACAAATCTTCTTTATTTCACTACTGCTTTCCACAATGCCACTGACCCCTTTCAAAACTCTACCCATACACAATTGAAAATAATATTTCATAATTTCATATTATTAAGGAGCATTCCCCATCTTACAACATTCAACAAGTTCTGCTCCACAAATCAACTATCGTGTTTTCTGGGTTCACAGAAAACAAGGGCGAATAACCATTTTGTATTCATCTAAATGTGTCACTGTAGGGACTCATTAAGAGCAGAGGCATATCGACTTTGTTTTCGTTTCATTTTTTCCCCTCCTTCAGAGACATTAAAATTGCCATCCTCTGCCTTTGCACGTACCTGATCTTCAGGGATTTGTAGTAAAGCCACACTCTGAATAATGCATGTATTTTTGCTAAAAGCTGGAGTAATACTTTCACTGCACTTTGAGTGTATAATATAGAATTATGAATTAGAAGTTAAGACAGAAAACAGTCGGGACATTTTATTAGTAAAATCTTGAATAAGTTCAAATTAATGCTAACAAGTACCTTTTAATTTCACCTTGATGGTGAATAAGGTGCCTACAAACTTTATGGTTTTGTAGAGCTGCTGGCACACATTCTATTTTGATTTGAAAAAGTTGATTTTTTTTCAAAAATTTCCCTAATGATTAATTGAAGTCGATGATGACTGGTACTTTTAAGGATAAGGATTAAGGATGCAATTAATGTACATGTACGTTGCAAAAGAAACCGTCTAGAACTTTGAAAGCATTCTGA